GTTGTTTAAAAAATAAAAACACAAATTAAGATGTTGTCTGATATCATACACCTATTATTAAACATGTTCTGTACCACCTAGCCAAATTATGAGATAAAAAGAAAAATGTTTTAGAACTCTAAGCCATTAAGGCAGAATGATTCATCTTGAAACTTCACATTTTAAATATTCTAAAGAAAAACATGTGTGTCAGGGTAGGTTTTCCTTACAAGGAAGAACCATAACTGGAGAAAGGAAACTGAGAATGATGAATACAGTGAATATCGCATATTTCATATGGTAGTTGAGGACTACCAGAAATTCAAATGCAGTGAAAGGATCTGCAAAAGAATATGTTTTTTCAAAACATTAACAATTATAGAGAAAGATTAAAGAGTTACTCCAACCCTTTTTGACACACAGCTTTTTAGGGCTTACAATGCCATATTGTGCATTGCTAATAGCCCCACCCTTAAACAGCAATAATAACAAAATATATCAAATTTACCTGTAATTCAGTGCCGTGACCTTTCTCCTCAGTCTGATGTCAGTAAGTTCCTCCCATAGAGAACCCTGTGATTGGACTGTTTTTGGATAGTTTTGCCAGCTCAGAGTGCACAAATGAACTGCAAGCTGGCAAAGGGAGAGGAGAGGGATTTTCAATTTTAAAAAAATCCTTAAATGTAAGTTATGCATGTAGGTGGGAGGGAGGTAAGGAGGGAAAAGCGAGATTCCCCTTGCTTGCACGATGCCTGCAAGGTAGAAGATAGTTGTATCTATTGCCAGTGTACAGTGCATGCTGACAACAGACTTAAATTTCACCCAGAATTCCCATCTAACAATCTCCACTTGTGTACCGGGGGTGTAAATAGCCACCTGCTCACGAGTGCAAATATCAAGCAGAAATTCTGCACATCCAGACTCCTACCACCACAACCACTATGATCACTGAAGTGGTCATGGTGGTTGGAGTAACTCTTTAAGATGCTACTGAGCCCTAGGCAGGTTTTTTTAGTTTGCCACCCCCTCCCTTTTCATTCGTAGAATGGTAAATGGGGCCAAGAAGTAAATTCATGTTTCATGTAACTGGGGCCAAGCAAACTCATGATTCCTGTTTATGCTTTGACCTTAGGCGGCCGCTTATAGTCAGTTTGTGATTGATCCTACTCTGAACAAATGCAAATTATTAATATACAGTATTAGAAATAGAACACAAGAATCACCTATCATCTATCCCAAAATACTTTCATCTGAAAAAACGCTAGTGTTATCTTTACTTATGTTTGCCCTGAAAACAGAATTTTCAGGGAAACGTAAGTAAAGATAACACTAAACTTACAGAACCTGAGAAAAACTATCTAATGTAATAGGATTCAAAGTTATTAAATATTCCTATGTCACAAATATTTATGTTCTTAGTTAGCAACATGGCATTATGCCCAGAACTAATTCTTGTAATCTGTATTAAAGGAACATTCACACAAAGCTTTCTGTGTGTCCTGTGAACCCTTTACACATCCTAGACTGACAATCAGACTACTGCTAGTTTAGTTTTGTGGTGTTGAACCAAAGTGGCTGTATCTTGCCCACAATGTATGCCTTTGAAAGACTTTTAAGTCAGCTGTAAATCTTGAGTAGTTAATTATTAGACAGACACAGGCATGCATAGACTGTCCACAAGACTCGTCAATGAGAAGCAGTTGATTGGTCATTTCCTGGCACATATGAGAAAGTCTGTGGCAGGAAGATGGGAGGGCTTGCTGTATCTGTGGATACTAGATAAAATACCCAATATAAGCAATGGTGAGATGCTTGGTTTACTATAAGGGGTGGACAAATATATTTATGTCTGCCAGCACAATGTTACAGGAACACTCAAACCAATGCATTGCCCTGTCCCACCAATTCATCAAACCATTTTAGAATTGTTTGACTTTTTACCTGGGGTCTACCAGGCCGCGCTTCCCACTGGATGGCTGTCCACTTCCTTAAACTAAACTTGACCAAAACTGAAATTCTGGTCTGTCCTCCCTCAAGTGTTGCTACTCCTGTGTCTGTCTCCCTCTAAGGCAACGGTGCTACCATCAGCTCTACCACACAGGCTCTGTGCCTAGGTGTTCCGCTTCCATCTCAAAAACATTGCGTGCATCTGACCCTACTTAACGCCAGATACAATTAAGGTGCTGGTCCATTCCACTGTCCTCTCTTGCCTTGACTACTGTAATCTGCTTCTCAGTGGTTTTACGTGCTCCCGCTACAGTCCATAATGAATGCGGCGGCTAGGCTCATCTTCCTGACCGCCCGCACCTCCCATGCCTCACCCTTCTGTCAGTCCCTACATTGGCTTGCTGTAAGATATAGGGCTCAATTTAAAATTCTGGTTCTTGCTTTCAAATCTTTACATAATGCTGCTCCCACCAATCTATCCTCTCTAATACACAAGAAACGGCTGCATTGGGCAGAAAAATACATAAAGACTAATTTTCAAACAGTCCTGTTCACTGATGAGTGCCGTGAAACACTGGATTGGCCAGATGGATGCAGTAGTGGATGTCCTGTTCCAACAAGGCTGTGACGTCAGCAAGGCGGTGGTGGAGTCATGTTTTGGGCCAGAATCATGGGAAGAGAGCTGGTTGGCCCCTTTAGGGTCCCCGTAGGTGTAAAGATGACCTCTGCAAAGTATGTGGAGTTTCTGACTGACCACTTTCTTCCATGGTATAGAAGGAAGAACTGCTTTCCGTAATAAAATCATCTTCATGCTTGACAATGCACCATCTCATGCTGCAAAGAATACCTCTGCATCAATGGCTGCTATGGGGGATAAAAGGAGAGAAAGTCATGGTGTGGCCTCCATCCTTCCCTGACCTCAATCCTATTGAGAACCTTTGGAGCATCCTCAAGCAAAATATCTATGAGGGTGGGAGGCAGTTTACATCCAAACAGCAGCTCTGGGAGGCTATTCTGACATCTTGCAAACAAATTCAAGCAGAAACTGTCCAAAAACTCACAAGTTCAATGGATGCAAGACTTGTGAAGCTGCTATCAAATAAGGGGTCCTATGTTAAAATGTAACGTGACCTGTTAAAATGTTTAAAAAGTTAAAATGTTGTTATAAGTTTGATTGAAATAGCTTTTGATTTCAGTAAATATGCTGCAAACACAACAAATGACAATTTTCAGTTCTTTACAACCTAAGTGTTTTGAAATTTACTGTGCGTAATAATTTGGAACAGTGCATTGTAAGTTATTTATTTTAAAAAAAAATACTGTTATCATTAGGAAGTTTGTTCAATAAAATTTGAATTGTACTCTTAATAGTTGATAACATGAGAATTATGCTGACTGTTATTTACATAAATTATTTAGGTAAATGAGAAAAATGTCATTTGCATAATAATTTGGAACAGGGTGTATTACCTACCGGTAATTTCTATTTAGACAAGCAATAGTGTCAGGATGTGAGTTTATATTCAGGTGTCTACTGCCTGTGCAATATGTGGTATGATAAAATGAAGTTGTGCTTTGCAGTGCATAGACCTCTACAACCAGAAGTGGAAGATTGTGGCCCCTCTGCCCCTCTCTTCACCCCCTGACAAAAACAAGCATCAGGGAAGGAGAGGTTGGGTAATTAATTAATGAAAATTAATATTTTAGTATGTGTGTATTTGTGATGAATATGCATAATTTTGTGTGTGTGTGTGTGTGTGTGTGCATCTGTTTGTGGGGAAACAAATCTTGGCCCTTAAAAAATGTTTATTTAAAGAATGTTAAATCTAAGCAGAAGGGAGAAAGACAATGGTAAAGGGATCGCTAGAAATTATAGTCATTGTAGCAAAAATAGCAAGAAATACTATTGCATTATATATATAGGTATGATAGAAAACCAAGGGGAACATGAGAAAATAACAACTCCAGTGTCAGGAGTTCCATTAATGTATAACCCGTATTTTACTAGATAGTATGTACAAAACCTAGGCCATTGTTAGTTTATAGTGGGTGAAGTGTTCTTTTAATAAAACACTAGAGCATTAGTAATACAAATTTGTATTCTTAATGCTATAGTGCCTTGATCACCATTTTGGTGATTAGCCCACACCGGTAGGTATGAAAAAATATATATTTTACTTACCTGTTATCTCTCGCAGCACCGGTCTTTATGTTAATGTCCCAGCGCCTTGGCTGACTTTATCAAGATGGATGATTTCAGTGAACCCAGCACACCCTAATCCCCGTGGCATGCCTATGGAGTGAGACCGTCAGGGGAGATCTCAGGATCCCCCCTGTCGGCTCATGCAGAGCCGGCGCTATCCGAGTAGGTATGCTCTCAGCCTCAGCCTCAGCGGCTCTGCTCTCTGCTCTCAGCCTCAGCCTCACTCCGGCCCACATGCAGGGAGGGAGGCAGGAGAGGACCCGGGGAGCTGAACCAGCAGCTCCGCCGGGTTCCTCTCGCGAGGTCGGAGCGTTGCCGCGGCAATGCTCAGATCTCGCAAGAATGAACTCTAGCCCCACAGGCTAGAGTTCACTCTCCACTGGACCACCAGGAATGGCAGCAGCACGATCCCCCCTCCCTTCATAAGGTAATAAGGGAGGGGGATATTTAGTAATGTACCCCCACCTCCACTCCCCACAATCACCCACACACACAGCACACACTTACAGCACTCCCACACACCCACACAGCACCCACACACCCACAGAGCACCCACACACACAGCACCCACACACATACACACCCACACACACAGCACCCACACACAGCACCTTCACACTCACACAGCACCCTCACACACACAGCACACAGCACACAAACAGCACCCTCGCAAAGACACAAACAGCACCCTCACAAACACACACACAGCACACTAACAGGACCCTAACAAACACACACACAGCACACAAACAGCACCCTCACACACACATCACTCTAACAGCACCCTCACACACAGCACCCTTACACACACAACACCCTCAAACCACCCTCACACAGCACACACACACACAGCAGTGTATGTATGTGTGTGTATATATGCCGTGTGTATATGTATGTGTGTGTATATATATATATATATATATACACACACACACAGTGTATGTATGCCGTGTGTATATATATATATATATATATATATATATTCACACACATACATATACACACGGCGTGTGTTTGTGCTTTAGGGTGCACACCCTAATGCAATAGGCTGCGCACACCTATGGCCTATGGTTTCCCTTTGTGAGAGTTTGAAGAACACAATAGAGCCAATGTAATATAGTTCTCAACTAAATTTTTTTGCCTTCATTTAGCAATTTCGTTTAAAATTCATACAGTATAAAAATAGAGAGATTTGGGGAAGGGGGGAATAATAAAATCACTTATAAATTGGATAATTGATTTCTAAATTCTTGGGGGAGCGGGTAGGATACAGGGGTGTGTGAAGAGAGAGAGAGGGTATGACTGTCTTTTTTTGTTGTTACTTTTTTTTATATATGTATTTGTTTATTTAATTCTTTTTTAGTATAAGTGCATATCTTAAGTGATATGTCACTCTCTATTTATTATTGACTGATATGTGTCTTATTTTGTTATGCTTTGGAATTATACTGATATTTTACTTGTTTTTCTTTTTGATTTTGTATAAGAAACTGGTAAAAAAAAAAAAAAAAGATATTAAAGAAAATACCTACAGTATAGTGTTTTGGTGAATAAACCCATAAATTTAACCTAGCGCAAGTGCAAAACGAATATATGCCACCAACAAACGCCATGTTGAGGTAAAAAAAGAGAGAGGGTTAGATACAATGCTTTATTTTAACAAACAAAAACAGATGGATGAGATTTGAAAGAACCTCTTTCTGTGACAGTGGTCAGAAAAATTCACTGGCCAACCTATTATTATAGTTGTGCAAACTGATGCTATTGATCGTTTCTTCCACCTCACAAAATATCCAGCAAATATAAAAAACAAAACAGTTCCATTCAGGATTTTTTCAATAAACTAATTAAACATAAAAACACTCCTCACAAGAGTGGGTGCAAGAATTGGAAATACTACAAAAATGGAGAGAAAGGAAGTAGAGAGAGTATATCAGGTTGCTAAATTATAATGGGGGGTAACCCCTACACTTAAATTACTAATAAAAAAGGAAAACACATACAAGAATTCTAAGAATTCTAGTCTAACAGCATTCACTTTAAGGATCTTGTATATTATCAGCAACCCTAATTAATCATCTCAGAAAAATAGTAAAATATAACTTTTAATAGATAAAGTTAAAATAACTGTGAGAGTAAACTAATATTAAAAAACACAAGAGGTACAAAAACAAGAGAAAGTGATAGCTTGACCGTGCTGCCTATATCAATTTGCAACACCAGTGGTACAAGGGGTGTAGAGAAAATAAAATTAATAAATGTAAATATAAAAAGGGGGTATAGTAATGATTCTCAGAAGGGTATTACAGAGGGGAATGAGAGTGTGATCTCTAATCTCTCCAGCTGAAGCATGGCTGTGTGGCCGGGCCCCTGGCTGTCTCGGCCCTAAGTCCATGTTGAAGTGTCCAAGTGGTCAGTCTGCCCCTGGATGGGTGAGGTGCTCAGCCCAATAGGAATCTGGTTTGGATTCAAAATCTACACAGAAAAAAAGGGAATTGGGGACACACCCAGAACATGCATTTGTATGCCCCCAATTCCCATTTTTTTTGTTTGTGTGTGCGCTGTTCCTTTAACTGTATTTTGTATATATTTTGGTCTTAACAGCAGCAACACTGCTTGGAAATGCATATTCTGGATGTGCCCCAATTCCCATTTTTTTCTGTGTAGACTTGGAATCCAAACCAGATTCCTATTTTGCTGTGCATCCCACCCATCCACTATGGGTGCCCCTTTGGAGGTGAAAGGTGAAATTGAAGCATCTCTTGAAGAAGTTAATACTGCAAGTAAGTATTGCAAGTTAGCATGTAAATTTCCCATGTTAAAATTAGTGTAGGACCCACCGATATTGGGCAACATACAAGATGCAGAGCACTCAACTCCAAGATTCAAACCAAGTAAGTGGGTTAATCTCATAAGAGTATTTGTTAGGTTGGTATAGAGTAGGACATGCCAAATATTTAATACGCGGAGATCAGTGGCAGGCTGGTATGATCATATTCTCCAACTAAATCCCCATTATCTTTTCCTAACTAAAGTGTTTTTAAAACTGTGTGGATATAAAAACTAGTGCTAAAGGAACAGTATAGTGTCTGGAATACAAACCTGTATTACTGAGACTAAAGTGTTTTACTGAACTAACGAGTTAGGTGAGCATTGCCCCTCCCGTCGCATGATAAAGGTGTTTTTACTCACCATTTACTCTATGCCATGCCAGTTTTGCTATGGCTGGCCCTGCCGTTGTGGCTGAAATCATCAATCTTGATGATCCCAGTCAATCCAATGTACTGGAAATTAAGTACATTTTACTGTCATTAATATTGATGAAGAGTTCAACAATCAAATAGCTCAGAAAAATTGGGGCATGAGAATCTGGATTTCACTGATGGAAACTGACATCTAGTGGCCAATATAAATGCCTTTATTAAACTAATTAACATTTATCCTGCTTTAGCCTTTGCAGAATGTTATTGCAACACAAAAATAAAGTTATTAACCCCTGAATTGTCCTCTCATTGAAATAACATTTTCTCTAATCAAATTACATTTCAAAAAATAAAAAATAAACTTCTTCATTATTTGATGCAGGGGTTCTGGCTAGAAACAGAGAAATCCAAACACCTTATCATTACATGGTCTGTTATTCAGATATAAGAAGCAAAAATCTTTATTCAGGTACAAGACAACACAATTCAAAAATAACATGTCAACAGACGCTATCTCCTATACAAGAAATACTCATAGGGTGCCTTAAGGTAGAGTTTCCATACACCTGTTCATTCCACCTTCCTACCCCCATGGTTGGGCGTTAACAAGAGACTTGTTATCCAAATGATGATACCCTATTACCACCCAGCGATTTCATAAACTTTATCTAATGTAGCTAACCTCTGTAAAACATTACTAGTATTGAAAAGATAAGAGTTTTGGAAATCATAGGAGGGTGCTGAAAGATGCTATGGTGGAGAACCATCATGTAAAGAAGGAACAATTATCAAACCAAAGCAGGGTACCAGTTTGTTAGAAATGTGTGTGTACAAGCAGTTCTGAGCCTCTACCTCAACATAGGTAGAAAACACATACAATGGTCATGGGGGGAACGAACACATAAACCTTAGTGGAAGAGAGAGAGAAAAAAAGAAGAAAAAAAAAAGAGGGAGAGAAGTTATTTTTTTTTATTACTGGTATTTTAATGACTAAACTCATGTATACAAACCTCCACATTTATGCTCACAAAAGGAGAAAAGTATTTTAGCTAAACATGCATATTAATTTCTAAACACATTTACTGCAGTTTAATTACATATTACTGTCATTAATAATGATGATTAGTTCAACAGTCATTTCAAACAGCTCAAGAAAATATTGACATGGGAATTTGTGTCTCACTAATGGGCTCACATATTGTATACTGACATCTAGTGGCCAGTGAAAATACTTTTAATTGGTATATCTCGAACGTTTACAGGTCATTATTAGCACATTAAAGTGTATCTATCATGCCAGGTTCAACCAAATGTATAACACTTCCCAAACCAAAAAATATATAATTTATCATTAAGAATGACACATATAGAGGGGCCAAGCCTTCGAGGAATTGGGAAGTCACAGAACACTTGGGGAGCCTGTTGATCCCTGGAACTCAAAAAACCTGACTTGACCCCTCTTTTCATCAGTATTTGACATCCATGTAAGGCCTGGGCACGAGGTCTGACTCAGACTCAGGGACGGGTCAGTTCTCGCCACTCTCCTCCAAGAATGTTATGGGGGAGATGACTTCCTAGGGAAGTAGACTAGACAGTCCTGGTGAGTGTGTTACCCACAAATGACATCATACGAGAGGTGAACACAGTGCTACAGGCTTTCTTTAGATCTGAGCTGGAATTGCCCCATGATGACATACAAGGCCAACATATAATACACTGTCACAAGGACTTGTGGTCCTGGGCAAGATATTGCAACTGTCCTCTCTCAATATGCACTGGCCGTATCTCCTTGACTTTTATTTGCCACAGAGAAAAGGGTAGGTGATGGCGGGTCTTCTCCAGTAGCACAGGAGAAGAAGACAACAGATAACGGGTAACAGAGCAGAGCATCTCATACCCTTATCTTCTCTTTTAACTGTACATAATTAAATTTTTCCATTATTTCCTATCTACACTTGCCTTTATATTGCAATATTGAGTTCTATATTATTTAGATAGATGCAGCGAGAACATATAACATAAGTAACCCTATATTTCATTTTCGCTGTGTATTTAGTTAGATTTTTCTTTTCCTTCCTTTATAATACTGTGCAATATCTGGGATTATTAATCTAGGAAGATAGGCACAAGAGAAGCAAAGACAGGGGCACTGCTATAGTGAGCAGCTTTTTTTTACTAGATCATAGATCCTGAAAATCCAAACTAGGTACTAGGAATGTTCATCCACATTACAGCCTCTAATACTTCAAACAGGTGCAACCACAGTGGGGCTCAGGAACTTGGCATCTATGCCATTCAGATAGCTCTTATACATAATGCAACAGGCACTCCTGACTGTATGTGAGCCATGACTCTTTAAATGGATCAGGGTGCTGACCATTTCCCCCCAGCCAATAGTGGTTAACATGGATAGAAACACCTTTGCAAGGGGGTGAGGGCATAACAAGCAAATAGGCAACTCCTTTTGGAAGTGGGACAGCTTAGACCTAGGGTGTTATGACTGCTCTCTCATTTACACATGGCTATAGGCCTATAATCTAACTGGTTTGCCACCTTGTATTGCTGAACAGTGTGCCTAGTCTTCTGGATGGAAAATAAGGGAAACCTTGTGACTAAAAATGTGATGGGAGACCTGTAAGGGAGGCAGACGGTCTCCTCGGGGTTTAGTTCTGAGCACAGATCTGCTGCACTCCTACCCCCCTTTGGACCGATGGGGGATATCCTGGTACCCTCAGGGCTTATCAAGCTAACCTACCGACACTTACCACACCATAAGAGCTGTAGTGAAATGCTTGCTTATATTTCAAAATGGCAGATGCCCAGTTCATATAACACGAGTTCCTCTTGGAGGGCTTCATGCGACTTATTTGCAGATTTCCTGATGAGACTGTACCAAATCTTCCAGCGCTTCTGGCTCACAATTCAGCAACGCCTTACAGCTGCCAAGGCTGAACATAAGAGGGAAGCCTATGGTGATGAGCAAAAAGAGGCAAAGGGGCCTACTCGAGGTGAGGAGATGGGGAGGTCACAACTTACTGGTTCACAAATAATGGACATTCACCAAATTTGAGTAAGGTGCCAAATGAGATTTTATTTATTATATATTTATTTTATTTGTGGTGGGTCAACTCTATTTAGAGGGTTTAAAAAGTGTTTCTCAATTGAGTTGCTCCTTGCCTTCAAACACCAACAATCATGTCATTGACAGAGAGGAAGTTTTTCATTTGGGTTGGTGGTTCAGTTCCAGCTTCTCTGACCTCTTATAAACCATATTGGATCCATCAAAAAGAATACAGAGAGCATGAACCATGAATTGTTCAGCGAAAGTACTACTGAGTAATACACAATGAAAATTAAAGTGATGTTTTCTGCGAAGGCTGCAATTAAAACTATTGTAAAAAAATTACAAATAAAGTAACTAAATATTAATCATGTTACATCTTTGTACTGATATGTAAGGTTGTATTTTTTTACAATAATCAGTTATAAGTAACCAATAGGGTTTAGGTAACAGACAGCTGGCTAGTTGGGCAGACAGGAAAAGGATGTGATGAAACAATTAACCATGAGAGAGTTGAAGTTGGTCAAGAAATGCTTGGGACAATATATTTGTAAGTTTTGTAATGAATTCATGTTTACTCAGCTGTGTAAAGGGATGTTGCCACCTATTCCACCTTGCATATTTTACTTGATTTAATTTTGTATTACTCACTATTTAAGTTTAAAATAATTGATATACTAATAAAATGTATTTATTTTACTTCTTTATATTTTTGTAGTGACTTGCTTTTCTGATACTCTCTGTTTTTGGAGTATTAAATATAAATACTTATCCAGTAGATGTGTATAGGATATGTAGTCTATACAGGAATAGTTGAGGCGCTCTCATATAGACAAAAGTATTCGGGAAAATAATAAAATGTATTTTATATAGACTTTCATCTAGTGCCATAATAAGGAGGAAAACAGAAAGACAAACTGCAAGAATTGGCCATACATTGCAACTACACCATTGAATTCAGAATTATGTCAGTGCTGACATCCTGATACTTCATGTTGGATAGACCAAGTACACTATGGTTACCCTGATTCCCAATGCTTTGCTAGGTGCAAAAGGAGTAAACATTAGCCCACTTGGTTCTTACACTCGTTCTCTGTTACATTACATTGCGTGCATTGACTTGAATAGATAACACTGATAAGTAATGCCTCTCTTGCTGGGCACACATCATATTTAGGCTTGAGACAGCAGGCACTAGGAAAAGTAAGCAGGTTAATATTTAATTCTTTCATACTCACTGCAATGTCAGGTTTGAGTCCCACTCATCTCAATAAAGGTATGCTCATACTGTGTGAAAAATGTAAATTACTACGGTATTTGTTTCTATATAGATGGAATGCACAAGCTGGTATTTAACAAAGGGGCTGGACTTAGAGAGACAAGGTTGGTAAGAGACACAGACCACGAGAAGTGAAAGGGGTACACAGAGACATATAACGGAGAAACAGACATAAGAACAGAGCAGACAGACACATAGAGAAACATTAAATGGGGTCTGAGAGATAGACAGGGAAACAATCATGCGACTAGGCTTAGAGAAAAAAAACATTTATGGAGAAGAACAAGGAGAGGGAGACATAAAATTGTGGGCTTTGAAGACAAACCACCAAATAAAATGTGTAAAGATGTTTTTTATTTAAATTGTATCCTCTGATAGTAGCTGGTGGGCATGTGAGCGAGTAAACATAACTAAATCGCAAGAACAAACATAGATATAAGGATGCGCCTAAAACTTGATAAAATAAAAGACTAAATTAGTCAGATAAAATACAGAATAAAAACTGTATTTTATCTGAGTAATCTGTTTTGACTTAGAAGAGTAGAGGGTGGCTACACATATATCCAATTTTAACTACAGTGGTCACTGGACTGGCTTGTACATTCCTCAGACAGTAGAAGCTTCAAACTGGGAAAAATAAATAAAAAGACTTATCATTTATTGTAGCTGAACAGAGTACGCCATAGTTAGAAACCACAGTCTAATAAATGTGTCTGTTTAAATGTAGTGACTTAACTACACTTTGGTAATAAGGTAAAGCTATGCATGTAAAACAGAGAAATAATTCTTAAAGGGTGACTCAAAGCACCATCACCACTTAAAGGATTTGAGTTAAATGCTGCAGTACAAAGATATATCCTCCTTTGCTGCTGGATGCGTAACTCCATTTTCAGCAGTGTCATTACGCAAAACTGCCAACTACCAACAAGTAGAGCATTTGACTACCTTCTGTATTTGACAAAAATTTTATTTCTACTTATATGCTAATGTGTCAGACCCCGTGCAAAATAAGACAGCCTATATAATGTCTAAAAACAAATTTGTCCCCAATATTTCTGTAAAAAGAGAACATATAAAAATATACAATGATATAGTTTTAAAAGGGACACTGAAGGCACCCAGACCACTTCAGCTCATTGAAGTGGTCTGGGTACAGTGTCCCCAGTCTACCAGACAGCAACTATATACTACACAATATATATACTACCTATTTTTTCATGACACAAAAAGAAGTAATCAAAGGTGTTAATTTCCACAGCCTCCGTCCATCTTCTGTACTTAATATACAAAAAATGACTGAACCACCAGACTGGGACAAAGCCCAAATATAATGGCGAAAGCAACAGTGTTGCAACAACATGGGCTGAGAACTAGCAAGATGTTAAAGGACAACTGTAACCAGAATTTTTATTTTTTAATTATAAGAATCCTTGCGGCATGTAATGAAAAGACTTGGCTTAAAAAAAAAAAAAAAAAAGTCTATGTAAAAATACCTACAAATCTACCCCTGCTTTCACAGAACACTGGATTCCTGTGCCATATTCATGCACCTTCGACCGTTAGGCTCCTGCTTCAGTCACTGAACAGAGCAGTGACGTCATCCGCCATCGCCCTGTGTGGTCTGCGTGGGCCAAATTACAACCGTATCCTGACTTCATTGGCAATTCGCATATTTACTTAAGCCAAATGCAGTCAATTTTGTCTGTTTGACTGATTCTGTAACATTGGTTCAGATGAGGAAATCACTGTTTTTCTGAACTAATCGAACCAATCGCAAATGGTCAATCCCTTGCTACTTGGAAATGAATGGTAATTTAAAGAACTATTTGCACACTGACAGCACTACCAGCCAGCAGGCAAATAATTAAATACCATTGGCAGTGCGAGAGCTTATTATAAAAAAAGTTAAACAAACAAAAAAAGTAAATATACATCCTATGGAGTTTACTTAACATTAAAACTGTGTCCCCTCCACAGGTCTCCTCCCATGTCGGTAGGTGGATACCCTAATAAGTACAATAAGGGAGGGGGACCTGGTGGCCCCTCCCCTGACTCTCACCCATAATAATATTTCTTATAGGGAGGGTTAGTGTTCCCTTCCCAGTCCATCACCCATATTGGCGAGTGTGGGCCCTAAAAAGTATTATATATGGGGGACCTAGTGTCGTCTATTCTGGCCCCCACCATTGCTGGCGGTTGCGAACTCTAATATTTGTAATGGGGTGGACCTAGTGGCCCCTCCCTTGGCCAACACCCAGGTCGGCAGGTGGGATCCGTCATAACAATAATATGATGGATGTTATTACTAGAATCAGGTAAGTGACTTAAAGTTTTTTTTTTTAACCAATTCATGGACCCAACTGTGGCCAGGGGGTGCAGGGGCAGAGGGAAGCTTTAGTGTTAGGAATACAGCTTTGCATTCCAAACACAACATTGTTCCTTTAAAAGGATACTATACTATCTTCAGAGCAAGTCATCTGAAGAGTTCTGCACAGCTTGATTCAAACTCAAAATTTCCACCATACCTGAACCTTCCACATGGTTCACTATTGAGCATACGAATTGCCTTGCAGCTAACACTTGCATGAGAGGCCACTCAAAAACTTAACTTCTACATTCCAAACAGTTGTAGTGATTTGAAATGACTGTGCTGAAACTACAATAAAAAAAATAAATTAACTTTACATTAAAAATGCACTTGTTTTATAAAAGGTTCAGTGCACAACCTAGAGATGTAGTGTTTATTCTCAAAATTCTGAGTAGGTTACAAGTAATACACAACATGTAAAGGCTTATTTACTAAAGTTAGAATTTAAAATATTATTAACCTCTATAGGATTTTTATTTTCTATTTATTTTATTTTTTCCATGTGGCGGCTAGCTAGCAAGCGCTGGCCAGCAACCACATAATTGATATTCACGCAGCCAAGGGTTTTTAACTTTTTTTTCCCCACTGGCTGCTAGCATTGTCAGTGGGCAAATAGTTCTTCAAATTATCATTCACTTGCAAATTGCAAGTGAATGATAACTTGCGATTCCTGGTGCTTTAGATTAGTTTGGATAAGTTTGGGGTTAGATTTGGACTAGGCACGCCACACAGGGCACCGTAAGTAAGAGCCTAATGGTCGGATTCTACTTCAGACTCACCGAAGGTGTATGAATTTGGCAAAGGGATCTAGTGTTCTGTGAAAGTAGGGGCAGATTTTTCAGGTATTTTCACATAAAAAATGTGATTTGTACTTAAAAAATTGCAATATATTTTCATTACATTGATCTTTTATACGCACTGTGGCGGAACCAGCCTCGCCACTGGGCATTGGAGAAGACTGATTGCCAGCCTCCTGCCCTGTGACTATGGCCCCATGTTGAAATGCTTGATTTTCCCCTGTAAAGACCTGAGAGCCGGGTCATTCGGTACTTTCCCTATGTGAGCAGTGTTACCCCAGATAGCTATGCCATGGAGCCCATTCGTATAACGAAAGACTATGTGAAAGAGTTTTGGCTCCATGGCAATTGAACTGTATGTATGTGATCTGGGCGCCATTCCGTAATAATGTGCGCTCAGATCTAAGCTATCTGGGGATATGTTGAATGTACCTGTTTTATGCAATAGCTGCACAGTTATATATTTTTATGTATTTTATTGTATTTTGCTACCATGTGGCTAATGGAATTTTGCCTCTGTCCTTGGAGATAATTGGATTACTTCCCAATTATCTCCAGGATAGAAGACTCTGTGGAACTGGTTTTGGGCAGAAGAGCCATACTTCATTTGGTCACAAAGGACGTTGATCTAACTTTTGACCCACTGGACCAATTTGTATGATTTTGACGTATGTTGGTATTTGGAATATGCTGATTCTGAAAATGTAAGTTTATGTAAATTTGTAAATTTATGTGAATGTGATGTATACTTTTAGAGTTATGCATATTGTGTAAAACTGTGTATTTTCCTGCCTGTGATAATTAAGTTAGAACATTGTGTTCAGTAATTATATCACAGGCAGAGGGGAGGATTTTGAGTGGGAGTGTCTGAGTGTATTGTACGTATTGATTGGTTGTTCTGCAAAACCCTGTGGGCAGTACTATGTTTGTAGAATGTGAATAAAAGAGGCTGTATGTGCCATTACAGTCAGTTCTACTTCACCCTCAATTTGGAGTGCCGTCTCTTATCGGGGGAATCCGCTACAAGGGATTGCTATGTTTGTCATACTCCCTTGCTATATCACTACTAAGTTCTTGTAAGAGCTTGCTCTCTGAAGGAGTCTACAGTGGTTATGGTGTCGGCTGGAGTGCTTGGAGCCCTCAGGAAGCGCTAGGAGCATCCTTCAACGGAGGTACCCAGTCGGGGTACCAGGTGATCCGTTACATGCACAAACAGGATTATTTAATAAACTGACATTCAGAATTAACTTGGAATGTTTTTCTAACTTGGCTATTTGAGCATAAATGTAGAAATTCACTTTGAATTCCAAGAAATTCTCACTTGAATATTAATAACCATGAAAGATTTAATCAATTACAGTGAATTGCAGTGATTTGAAAAATAAATTGCAAAATTTAAGTCAAATATTTTTTTTTAAATCACCTCAAGTGAATTATAAAAAAAAACAGCAAAATGAATAAATACAAATTAAGCCAGAAAATATGGGAAAGCATGTCAAAAATATATATAAATAAAAATATAAATAAAAAGTAATAAGGAATATGGAATATAATTTATCATGTATATGTAGCCAGACATATGTAACCAGAAAAGTGGTTAAAATAGCAGGGTATGTTGTAAAAAATGTTTTTTAACAGTAACATACAAGACTGTTGAAAAGAATTGATAGATAATCAAGCCCTAGAAAAAGCAGAAGATAAAACAAAAAACAAGATCAAGCCTGTTTACTGGACATGTGCAGTATTAGTACTATATGCCTAAGAATTTAATGCTACATTATGAAAGATTTGGGAAAACTAAATGCATTGTATTTTATCACGTGATGAATTTTCAGAAAAGTGAAAATTTTGACATAATTTAAACATTTGGCAATGCACAACTTAAACATTACTTCCTGCAAACACAATTGATAGTAATATGTACATAAATATATTCATTAAAGCCAGATTTCTAAATTTTTGTATGAATTCTCTTGTGTCTGATCAGATGGGAACTACGAAAAAAGCACTTTCCACATTCACTGCATGAATAAGGTCTTTCTCCAGTATGTACTTTTTGGTGTCTAACAAGGTCAGAGCTGTGCCGAAAACTTTTCCTGCATTCATTGCAGATGTATGGCCGTTCTCCTGTATGAACCCTCCGGTGTATGATAAGATTCGAACTGTTTATAAAGCTTTTGCCACATTCATTGCACACGTAGGGGCGTTCTCCAGTGTGTATTCTTTGATGCATGACAAGATATGCACTGCTAATAAAACTCTTACCGCATACCTTGCACACATGTGGCCTTTCACCTGTATGTGTTCTATGATGAATAACAAGGCTTGCGTTTTGTGTGAAACTTTTCCCGCACACAGCACACATGTATGATTTTGCTGGTTTAACAGTTTTAGCTTTTGTTTTACTGTTAGTTAAAGTGCAAGTTATATTTCCTACGCCTTCACTCATACAACATTTCCTTCTTATATATGTCTTTGGAATAATGCTAGTTGTTTTTTCATTGCCTTGTTCATTAAATTTATTATGCTTTACTTGTGCCTTTATATGTTTTATATTTCCTTCAATGTGTTTTTCTGCTAAGGTAGATACACACTGTTTATTTACTTGTGTCTGAGTTTTAGAAAAACTTTCTTCTTTGCTCAGTGCAGTTTCAAGAGAGAGAATGTGTAATGAGTCCTCTTGTATACCTTTGGTTTTCAATACTGGTTTTCCTTTGGTATAAGTCCTTTGCAATTTCCCACTGTCTTTGGAACATTCTTCTTCAGCTTTGCTGAATTTATATCCACCTATGGAAATAAGTAAATTAAAGATGTTGTAAGAGACATAGGCCACAGCAATGATATTTACTGTGCTGAAAATGAACTTGTCATCCACAATTGGTGCTATAGACTAAAGGAAACAGGTTAATGCAAGTGATTTTAAACAAAGTCTTTCTTAATATTATTGTACAATCAGTCAATGTTTTGCTTTCCATCATTTATCATGATATGTTTATTATAACATGTGTATTACATGATCTGTCTATTACTTAACTGGGCAGCAGATCAGCAGGCCATCTGTTCAAAACCCACATTGCACAGCAGGCGATGGCACACAATGCAGCCAAAAACTGTAATGCACAGTGTGACACAAATAATTAAGGGGTCATTAAAACTTAGTGCAGCACCAGGGTATACATAAGCCAAGCTGGCTAAGATTGATGAGAGTCACACTCCTAGGCAGAAGCTGCATATGGTGACTGCCATGATTAATTCTGCCCTGCTCCAGTTACTCAAATGCCAGATGAAGGGCTAGTGAAAGATAATACACATACAAGTATGCATCAAACACATAAACCTTGATGTATACACTATGGTGCAAGAGTTTTAGGCATGTGTTAAAAAATATAGTAAAGAAAGAAAGCTTACAAAAACACAAATTATTTAAAAAAAAATCAATGAACAAAATACAAAGTGAGTGAACTGAATAAAAATCTAATTTAAATCTATATTTGGTGTGACCACCATTTGCCTTCAAAATTCTTCTAGATATACTGATATATGTGCATGATTATTATTATTATTATTATTACTGGCATTTATAAAGTGTCAACATATTATTTTCTTCCTGGCTTCCCCACTTCCTCTCATATAGCACTCCTTCCCTTATACTTGGGGATTTCAATATCCCAATCAACAACCCCAACTGCACTGATGCCTCTCGTCTGCTCTCTGTAACCTCCTCCTTTGGCCTTACGCAATGGTCCAATTTAGCAACCCATACAGCGGGAAACACTCTTGATCTTGCCTTCACCAATCTCTGTACCGCCTCTAATCTCTCCAATATTCCTTTTCCTCTATCGGACCACCCTCTGCTGACTTTTTACATCGGCATACCCAAGAAGAAATTGACACCACCATCGGCACATCAATCTCACAGAAACCTCCAATGTCTTGACCTAGAGCATTTCTCCACTAATCTCCAAACTCCTTTTACCCATCTCAAACCTCACCTGTCCTAGCTTTGCAACCTCCTTCTACAATTCCACCCTCTCCTCTCAACTAGACATCATGGCATCTCCTACAATTAAATGCAGCAAGCGCCCCCAACAACCTTGGCACACCAAGGTGACTCGATAACTTCAAAATGCTCCAGAACTGCTGAACGCTGTTGGAGAAAATCTCACTGGACTTTCTCCACTATAAATTTATGCTGCGCTTATACAGCTTGGCTCTTTTCTCTGCAAAAGTAAATTACTTCAATACCCTCATAACCACACTCTCCTGCAAACCCAAACGACTATTTCACACATTTAACTCTCTTCTTCGCCCTATTGTTCCTCCTCCACCTACTAACTTGACCGCCTCAGACTTTGCAACTGACTTCACTGACAAGATTTTTACAATCAGGGAAGAGATCTCTCATCTTTCTTCTTCCCCTTACAATACTTCCCCTAACCTCACTCCCTCTGCTGTTCTATGTTCATTCGCACCCACTACAGTGGAAGAGGTTTCTGCTCAGCTCCAGAACTCCTGCCCCACCACCTGCTCCCTAGATCCAATTCCCTTGCATCGCATCCGTACTCTGTCTTCTCTTTCTCTACCTCTCACTAAAATTCTCAATCTCTCTCTCTCCTATGGCATATTTGCATCACCCTTCAAACATGCAACTATAACCCCAATTCTAAAGAAGCTCAACCTTGACCCTAACTCCCTATCCAACTACCGTCCTATCTCGCCACTGCCTTTTGCATCCAAGATCCTTGAAAGAGTTGTGTATGCGAGATTTACAAACAAGCTTAAGTCTGGTTTCCGCGCTAAGCACTCTGTGGACACAGCACTGACCAAAGTATCCAATGATCTACTCGCTGCTAAATCTTGTGGTCACTACTCTATCCTAATTTTCCTTGACCTTTCTGCGGCTTTTGACACTGTTGATCATCAACAGCTTCTTCTCATCCTCCGCAATATCGGTCTACAAGATATTGCTCTCTCCTGGTGCTCCTCCTACCTATTGTAGCGCTCTTTCAGTGTTAATTTCTCTGGCTCTGCTTCTTCTCCCCACCTTCCCTCTGTTGGTGTCCCACAAGGTTCAGTCCTTGTTCCTCTACTGTTATCCATCTATAATGCTTCCCTTGGTAAACTCATTTGGCTTCCAATATCATTTCTATGCGGATGACACACAAATCTATCTGTCCTCTCCTGATCTCTCTCCGTCCCTCTTGACTAGTGTCTCTGACTGCCTCTCTGCTATTTCTAACTGGATGGCTGCCCACTTCCTTAAACTCAACTTGACGAAAACTGAAATTCTGGTCTTTCCTCCCTCAAATGTTGCTACACCTGTGTCTCCCTCCCTCTAAGTCAGTGCTACCATCAGCTCCACCACACAGGCTTGCTGCCTAGGTGTTCTCTTTGAACATGAGGCGTAAAGGAGAGGTCAGAGTCAGTCTATCACCAAACCCTGCTGCTTCCATCTCAAAAACATTGCGCACATCCGAACCTACTTAACGCCAGATGCGACTAAGGTGCTGGTCCATTCCACTGTCCTTTCTCGCCTTGACTACTGTAATCTGCTTCTCAGTGGTCTTACGTGCTCCCAACTTGTGCTGTTACAGTCAATAATGAATGCAGCAGCGAGACTCATCTTGCTGTCCGCCCGCTCCTCCCACGCCTCACCCTTCTGTCATTCCCTACATTGGCTTCCTGTAAGATATAGGGCTCAATTTAAACTTCTGGTTCTTGCTTTCAAATCTCTTCATAATGCTGCTCCCACCTATCTATCCTCCCTAATACACAAGTATTCCCATCTAGGCCCTTACGCTCTGCTGAAGACTTACATCTATCTTCTGTCCGTACTCCCACCTCTGATGCTCAAGACTTCTCGAGTGCTGCACCGTTCCTGTGGAACTCACTTCCCTCCTCCGTTAGATGCTCACCCAGTCTCCACTCCTTCAAAAAATCATTAAAAACCCATTTCTTCATAAAAGCATATCAATTAAACTGTTAATAGCTCCCGACTGATTCCTCTCTTGCAACTGTCATTAGTCTAATACTATCCTTACCTTTTGTGTCACTTTACCCCACTCCCTCTAGCATGTAAGCTCATTGAGCAGGGTCCTCATCCCATCTGTTCCTGTGTCCAACTTGCCTGGTTACAACTACATGTTTGTTCATCCACCAAGGCTGTGGAATTTGTTGGCGCTATATAAATAATAACATAATAATAATCATCAATTATGTCGGTAATTATCATCAATTTGTTTGGAACAATCTATCTCCAGAGTTCTTTGAAAAACTGTGTGATAGAAGAATTGATGCTCTTTTCAAAGGATAGTCACACCAAATATTGATTTGATTTAGATTTTTATCCTGTTCACTCGCTTTGCATTATTAATTGCTGAAAATAAACTCTTAACATTTCTAATTTTTAAGACATTCCTACTTTGAAGGATTTGTTTATACCAGTCTCAAACATTTGGTGATTAGGCTGTGCATGCCACACAAACTCTTCCCAATCTCAGGCCAAGTATGTGCAGCACAAAAATGGTTAGCCTGCAGCCCATTTGCTAGAAAATAATAAAACAGCCATACAATCTTTTCGTAGAAGCACAACAAACCTCAATATTGAAGTCCTCATTTTATCAGGCACAGATATTAATTTCAACCACTTGATATTCTTTGAATTTAATAAAAGCAGGGATGGCTCCTCACTCCATTTTGAAGTAAGAGCAAATTTTAGTTCTTTCAAATTGGAAAAAGAAGTACTCACTCGTGGAGGGATTTGTTTCACATTTCTGGTTTTGTGAATACAAATTGGTTTTAACACATAATTCTTCTCCTCGATGAATACGTGACACAATCTCAGGTTTCGCATATATATAACCTGTAATTAAAAATAGAATTGTTAAGACATCATCAATAACCTTAGCAAACATAATTAAAGGGACATTATAGGTACTGAGACCACTTCATCAAACTGAAGTGATCTTGGTGCAGTGTCCATATCCCTCTTAGCCCTGCATTGTAAATCATTCCATTTTAGGGAAACTACAATGTTTACATTGCAGTGCTAAGACTGCCTCTAGTGGTTGCCTACCAGTTTGACTCCGTGAAACAACGCTGAACATCCTTAAACTTTGCAAAAGGATATCCAGCATCAAGCACATGCACGCTGCTCTTTCAACGCATGTGCAATTAGGTCACCCCTATCAGCTGATGTCGGTGGAGGAGGAGTGCAACCCAGTGCCGAGGGACATTGGCTCTTAAATCAGGTAAGTGACTGAAAGTTTTTTTTTTTTAACCCATTCATGGACTAAACAGGGGCTGGGGGCGCAGGGTCAGAGGGAGGCCTTAGTGTTAGGAATACAGCTTTGTATTCCAAACACTAAAGTGTTCCTCTAAAGGGATACTATACTATCTTCAGAACAAGTCATCTGAAGAGTTCTGCACAGCTTGATTCATGCTCAAAATTTACACCATACCTGAACCGTGCACATGGTCCACTATTGAGCATACGAATTGCTTTGCAGCTAACACTTGCCTGAAAGGCCACTCAAAAATAAAACTTCTACATTCCAAATGGCTGCAACATCAAAATGATTTTAAATGATTGTGCTGAAACTACATTAAAAAAATTCACATTAACTTTACATAAAAAATGCACTTGTTTTATAGTAGGTTCAGTGCACAACCTAGAGTGCTTATACTCGCAATTCGGAGTAAGTTACAAGTAATAGACCACAAACACAGGCTTACTTACTAAAGTGAGAATTTAAAGTCAATTCAAAGTGTCAGAGATCAAAGAACCCAAACTTAAAGCAAAGCTGACTTAGAGAATGTTTTCCAATTCAGTTATTTTGACCTTAAATTTGACATTTACTTTAAATTTTCACTTTTGTGAATCTCACATAAAGTTAGGTGACAGCTGTGCATGGGGCTGGGATGTGGATGAGTACAAGGTCAGAGGGAGGCCTTAGTGTTAGGAATACAGCTTTGTATTCCAAACACTAAAGTGTTCCTCTAAAGGGATACTATACTATCTTCAGGACAAGTCATCTGAAGAGTTCTGCACAGCTTGATTCATGCTCAAAATTTACACCATACCTGAACCATGCACATGGCTCTTCATTAGTTTAAAGGGTAATCCAGATGTGGACCCCTTGCTCACGGTGCCTAGAGAGATATCAGCTATGCCTCACTGACGATGCCTAACAAGGCTGAAACGATCGTCTGGGGTTGCTGTATCTCTCGTGCAGAGAGAAATTGCTGGCATTTCGGATCTGGACTGCCCGTATGGGTGGGACCAGTCTGATATGCTTCAGATATGTTCTCTCTGTAACAGCACAAGTTGAGCTAAAACCAGCTTGAGTTCTGAGCGGGGACCCACCGAAGGGCAGGCTATTTTAGCTGCTGTCCGTCCTTAAAATACTCTTGCGACACATTTTTTGCTCTCCATTGTTGCTTAAATGTTACAACTGGTATTTAGTGAATAATCTCATATATTTATATCAACAAAAATAATTGTTCATTCCCTACGAAATGCCTTTTTATGGCATGCCCTCTTTCCAATTCAACTGCCATATGCAATAAACAAGTTTAACATTAAATTACAAGTGCTCAATGTTGACTAAGCTCTACACTCGGATCATTTAGGAACAAGTCAATTCCCCTTTTATTAAAATATGTATGTCCTCATTACAAGCCAGTCATAAGGGTGGCCCAACTCCCCACTTAAAATGTTTATTAACCTTAGTTTACAACCAAGTAAAATGATTCAAGTCAATGCTTGTAATTAAATATTAATAAAACATGATAGAGTTAAATGGAATGAAAACATTGCACCAATCACTCACACCTTAGTGTTAAGAAATTCTCGGCCTACCCACTAAGGTGGGGGTCTGGTGACTTTTTGCCAGTGCATCCCTGCAAGATTCATTTTGCCTTTCTTCAAAAGACTCCAACTCTTCCACTGAGAAACAAACTGTGACATTATCTGGATGTACTTGGTCCTGAAAAATGAAGAAATGTATATTAAATATTAAAGCAAACTGTTATCTACCATGGTTACTTGGATATATTAGGAGGGGTCATTCTGATGCTCAATTATGTGGAATGTTCTTTCAGTGGACACTTCTAGTGTCAGTAATGATGATGGTACAATTTCCAGTTATTGTAGTAGGCTTTGGAACTATAGTCATATTAACAATCACTCATATACATATATATATATTGTTTGCAACTTACATTCTGGGGGTCATGGTGCTTAGTGGTTATGGTGCTTGGTGGTAGGCTGGTAAGCTGGTACTCTAGGTTGGTATAATTGTGATGTAAATAAAAATCAAGCTTGCATTGCAGGCACATAAGTGAATCTCATAAATCACATCAAATATTTGTTTGGCTTGCCCAATGTCCAGTACAGGTTTGCCTTCAATATGACTGGATATGCATATGTATGAATAGAACTATTAACTGTGAATAAAGGCTTCTTACATCATCATTGTCGTCATCATCATCATCATTCAAGGTTGGATTTCTATCAGCTTCTGCCTGACATGCAGCCATGTGTAAATTAATCTGCAGGGTAAAAGATCATAATGAAATATGTAGCACAGACTGTGTCACAAGTGCAAAAGTGCATGTATTTAAACATTTAAGTTTTACACTTGTCAAACAGCAACTTGCATACAAAATTTGAAAGTTAAGTTCATATTTCTCCCTGCGTAACAGTAAACAAAAGGTTATTGTCCTATCTTTACTTCATAAGCGCGCCTTCTCCCCTTAGCGCACAGCAGGAACAGTACCCCTCCTACATTATTATTTCAAGTGGGGACAATTACAAACATATTGTGAAAATGTTTTCTTGTCTAGAGACACTAAACTTAAAAAATATGAGCTAATTATATAGATCAAAAGAAAACACATTTTATAGCTTTTGCCATACCAAAATGCTCCTGCTAGAGGACAGCCAGAATCCCTATGTGCAGTGCAGAGACTATCTACAGTGTGGAGTTTTATGGGAAAAAATATTAATTGTACTCAAGTGCTGTAAAGAATTCATTGTTAGCGTATACAGTATATGTTTTTAAGTCATTATAACTAATATAAAAAATAAAAAAAACACAGTTGTGACAAAACTATATACTTTATTCCCCAAGTTACTTTCCCTGAGTTCGGTAGATAAATCTATTGAACACCGACCACCCCCTGGCTCATTAAGTTCAAAGAAACCACAGACTTAAGAGCTCTCCCGCAAGAAAGCAGGCAGCGGGACTTGGTCTTCGAGTGTCTGGAACTCTAAGTCGGAAGCTCGACCGTGCGGACACCGACACCGGACAAACTTCACAAACACCTGCTTCGTTTCACAACAAGCCAGGAGAGCACTGTTCGGTAGGTTTGTTCGCACAAACAAGGAGAACAAACACGACCTATGAGACAGAGGAACCGTTCGTCTTGGAACTCCTGAAATTGTCCGACAGCTACCACTGAAACCCTGGAACTGATTTGGACAGATGCCTCATGAGCAGTCGGTCAAAACTTTACCCTGGTGGCGATTCAGCTGTATTCATGAGATTTGAGCGCTGTTTGGACAACTTGGGCACTCAAATACAAGCTATCCGGGGATATAATAATATTTGTGGGGTGTTCCTCTATGTTTTATATGTGTTTTTATGTATATTTTATATTTTTATGCACAGTCATTGTGACAAAGAAATTCAGGGGTGTGTTGTAGGAATGTTATGGGCTTGTATGACTGTATCCCTGATGTGTATAAAAGCAGGCCATCTGGTCAGAATAAAAGATTCCTGTTGTACCCTTCATCAAGTCTTGACTGATGTTTGGGTATGTGACAAATAAACCCGCTGGATTTACCCTTATGCAACTTGGATTTCGGGAATGGTTGGATCAGCGCTCCAGGCGAACAGGCTATAATCACTATTGGGAGCATATGAACAAATGGGTATACGAAATACCAAGCGTTTGTTACTATTGGTGGCAAGCGACGGGATCTAAACGTTCGAATGGAACTCACGAATGAGGAAAACCAGTGAATGGTCCAGCTTTACGAAAGGCCGAAACAAACAATGCTAAAGGATCTGCTGGAAGCTCAGGGTTGAAGGGCAAGTAAAAAAAAAAGAGACACGTAATCATAGCTGAGCTAATGGATAGCGACCAAGCCAGCGATACAGCGGGATTAAGCCTGGAAGAAGGCGAGTTTCAGAATAAAGTGAGATGGCGGCTCAGTTTTTTGGGAGCAAACCCTTCACTAGCGTTGGTGGTTCAAATTATGGAGCAAGTGTCCACGTCACAGACAGCACAGCAGTCTAGCATGTATCCAGGAAAGACAGCATAAGAAAATGAATCATGCTGCTTTTAAAAACTTTACAGACGGTGAAATGGAAATTCACACTTATATACAGGATTTCGAAAGACAATGTGTTCTGGAAGGTTTGGATAAAGAGAACTGGGCAGCGATCCCGAGCAGCACGTTATCAGGCAGAGCAGCGCAAGCTTACCGGGCAGTACCCGACTCTGACATACATGATTATGAGCGGGTAAGAGACATTTTACTGGCCTGGCACGCTGTAACCCCAGAAGCCTACAGGAGGAAATTTCAGGGATTAAGAAAGGGGGGCAGAGACTCTTATGCAGAATGGGTTTTCCGGATGCACCTTGTAGCCAAAAACTGGATGCAGGGCTGCAAAGCAACAACTTTGGAGTTACTAGAGCAATTTTTTGAGAACATACCAACTGAGACCAGACTGGGTGAGAGATTCAAAACCAGGCACTGTGGAGGAGCCAGCACTGTTAGCCGATGAGTACCATAATAGGAGAAAGGTAGAAACAAGAAGAGGGCGATCCACCTTCAGGACGTCTTACCCGACGCAAAGCACTCCACCACCACCCAGACCAACTAACTTCACTCCAACACCCACTCAAAACACCCATCCGACACCCTGCATTTCTGTGCCATACCTGCAACCAACCCGGGCATTTTAAGAATAATTGCCCAAGCCGAAACAGAGGAAGCTAGTAACGGCGAGATCCAGGCTGCAGGCAACAACAGGGAGCATCATCGGCAGTGGGTCACCATTGATGGACAGGAGGCAAGTGGCCTGAGAGACACTGGCGCCACCCTCACCCTAGCACAGGCACACAAGATAAGTTCCCAAGCCCGCACCAACAAAACGGTAGCTGTGAGGGTGGCAGGAGGAGCCATCCACAAACTGCCAACTGCCCGAGTGCACCTCAACTGGGGTTCAGGAGCTAAACATTTGAAGGTCGGAATTATGAGGGAACTACCAGTCAAAGTTTTGCTAGGAAACAACCTGGGCTGCCTGATATCACAGCTCACACATCCCTACCAAATGGAGACATTCCTGGTGACCACAAGGTTGCAAACCTGCTGGGGGAGCCATCGCACTCCGAGGACCATCAGGTAGGACCCTATGTCCCATCCCTAGCCGCAATTCCCATCCCGTTCTGAGGTACCCCCCCAAGATTTTGAACCGGAACAGAGGGCAGACCCCACACTTGAAGGGGCAGCGTACCCCCCAGGGAGATACAGCACTGGAATGGTTTCAGCGAGTAAGAAGGGGTTATTATACAGAGTAACAGGGGAAACGGGGATCGGAGCTGCGCAAGTAACAAAAAGGCAGCTGATAGTGCCCTTTAAATATAGGGCTCAGCAACGATATTCCACTAGCAGGATATCTGCATATCCAGAAAACTAAGGACCGGTTAACCCAGACCTTCTTCTGACCAGGGATCACCCGGGACCTGCAGAATTACTGCAGGACGTGTGACGCCTGTCAAAAGATTGGGAAGAGGGTTGACCACCGGAGGGCCAAACTACACTCCTTGCCCATAATAGAAGAACCCTTCCACCGAGTTGCGGTGGACTTAGTAAGAGCTACATCCTTACGGTGGTAGATTATGCTACTAGATATCCATAGGCAGTGGTGCAGAAACTGTGGCAGAGGCCTTAGTGAAAATTTTTACTAAGGTAGGTTTCCCTAGGGAGATCTTGTCTGATCAGGGGACCCAATTTACAGCAACTGTGAACCAGCAATTATGGTAGAGTTGCAGAGTAAAGCCCCTGTTTAGCTCTCCCTACCATCCCCAGATGAACAGACTCTGTGAACGTTATAATGGCACGCTCAAGCAGATGCTTAAGACGTTCGCAGCCTCCTGTCGGCACTGGGAAAGGTTCTTTCATCTCCTCTTTGCCTACTGTGAAATGCCCCAGGAGTCAACAGGGTTCTCCCCCTTCGAAGGTGATAGCTCTGAAGACAAGCTTCAGGCAGCCTGGCAGGGACCCTTCCGGGTAGTGGAGCGCATAAGTGACACTACCTACATTGTAGGGAAAAGTTCAGATGAGAGGATATGGAGATCCTTTCATGTGAACATGCTCAAACCCTACTTTGAGAGGACAGTAGTCATGACCCTAACAGTGAAGGGCATTGAATAATCTACCTTACCTTTACACAGTTCCAAAAGAGAATAGGCATAAGGCTATCCTAGACTTAAGATAAGGCCAGGGACTAATCTAAGTATTTCGAAAATTGGGCAGACTAGATGGGCCTAATGGTTCTTATCTGCCGTCACATTCTATGTTTCTATGTAATCATTGAAAGAATTCAGATTTAAACAGTTGCCTCAGAAGGTTGCCATTACTGCCCCCCAACCAGTGTCATGCACCTTTTCATGAAGCCATCAGGAGACTTGAAGCCTTCCTTGGTTTTTCACAATCTGTAGAGAGCTCAAATGTAAGTTTCAAGAAGAAAACTGGAGGATTTGCATCTGTCATTAGATCTCAGGAATGGTTGTCATCCCATTCAGATTTATAACCAAATTCAGTAGTTCTTGTTGTCTGATGCAGAGAATTCATATTCATAATCATACCTTTGGGATTCTGTGTGACACTAGGAACCTTCTCTTAGATCCTAGGGGTATTAAAAACAGAACTTTGTGCCAGGAGTAGGTACATCTGTCATTATCTAAATTAAATTATGGTGAAAACCATCCAAGTCTGTTCTTTACAACTCAGAGATCATTGTGGGGATTGCTCAAGTGATTGACAAGTGATGTCTCGGATTGATTTGTCAGACACTAAACAAGGCCAAGTGTCTCCAAATACCAGGCATCTATATCTTAAGCGACAGAAAATGTTTTTCCTTCTCAAACCTGACCTGAGACAACTTCAGAACTATTACCCAAACAAAGCTTTGGAGGTATTTGACTGGCCTCTGCAAGCTTAAATTTATGTAAGTGTCATCCAGTAATTAAATATCTATCTTGTAAACATCTACGCTGTACATAACCAGGCACCACAAATCAAAATAAAATGTATTCACTAGAAAAAATTTTTAAAACAAAGTAATTGGGAAATTATACCCAACCATGCTAAACTGAATATATATATTTACATTTGCCTACAATCAGAAAGATGGTTACCAACACATGACAGCTCTCTCTTTAGTTTAGAGACCCCAATGGTGTTCTTTGGAATGTTTACCTAGTAGCTGGGGTTGGCTGAAAATGTAAGAGTGAACACTTTGCTG